ACCCAGCTCCCCCAGCTCCATCCCTTGCAGGAAGATGCAGCCGTGCTGCAGGTGGCCACATTGCATCAAGATTTTTTCCTTATAAACAGCACGATTGAGCGTTTCGAACCGGGAATTGCTGCCGTTAAACCACGTATTTTGCTATTCCTGCTTTGCAAACGTCCCCGTAACAAGTTATTTTACCCGATTATCGGTGAATCTGTAAGTGCCACGGTGCCACACACCAGAAAAACACCTTTTCCAAGCTCTCCTCCCTCCCAAACTCCTTAACAGGCTTTATTTTCCTTTTTTCTCTATGGGAATACTAGCACGCAGCAGAGAAAATAGCCGGAGCCTGATCCTGCCGACAGCCCGGCACTCGCGGCAAAGCAAAGGGAAGATGGGCAGAGGGTCGCCACATTTTGGGGATGACGGATGCTCGGAAGGCCTGAAAATATTGACAATTAAAAAAAAAAAAATAACCCAAACCCTGGATTTATGGGTATCCAGCAGCAGTTATTGCTATTGTCGGCTGGTTGGGTTTTCCTATTGCAAATAAACCCCCAAATATGGTTTTTTTTTTTTCTTTCTCTAAGGTAGCAAGACCCAATTTCACGCCCTCCGGCCGGGGACTGCATCATCCCAAATCCCCTGCGGGGATGCATCCGCCGGGATGCACGAGTGGGAGGGGATGGCAAAGAGTTGGGGGGGTCTCTCCGGGAAGGACCGTATTCAGCGGGATGCCGGCAGCCGGGGGAAAACCTGACACCCTGAAACATCCATCATTAAAAAAAAAAAAAAACAAAAAACGAAAACAACCACCTTTAAATAACACTTCATGGTAATTAACATCTTGAAACTGCAAAAAGCTGGACTGGGTTATTATTCTTCATAAAATACAGGAGTAAATCCTCACCCGGAGGGTTCAGCCGCTTGGAGGCGTGATGGGGACAGGCTCCAAGGGGCTCGTTTGGGTTGGGGGCCAACAACACTCTTAATATGCCTTCTCCACCCCCCCCCAAATGTTTCATTACAGCTAGTTT